CTCCAAAATTAGCACAGATTCAAGCAACCTCTTCTTTGTTCAACAAGATATCTTTGATCCTCATAACCTCATCAACAACAATCACAGAAGCTTCTCTGTAAGTCTGACTCTTGTTCAATTCCTTCTCATCTTCTTCAGCTATCTCCACCGTCTTCTTACAGCCATGGTTAGCCTCTTCTTCTTCTCCGGCTATCGACAGCTCGAGGTGGTCACATCCGATGCAGCGGCTCACTTTACAAGAGAAGATAAGCTCAGCGATTCTGCTTCTCCTTGATTTGAACTCATTTGGCCAATCTGCTGCAGCAACCATGATCGCATGATCAATGATACCAAAAATATCAGAATCTCCTCGCCGGAAATACTCCCTCCAGTTATCCAACGAAGCCGACGGTTTCATATCTACCAATCGATTCCTAAAATCCGATTTTCTCGATCTAATTCCTACTTGAAAAAACCTTATGGATTCTGGCAAAACTAATGAAATCTCAAAGCAACAAAAACGCTGAATTTTTCTTGAATCATTGAAACACCTAAAACCAAAAGAAAATCCCAGAAAAAATTTCAATGCTGTATCAAAGATTGAAGAGAAAATCTAGGTTTTGAACAAGACTTTGAGATCATTTCGATATGGATGATTACAAAATTCGACTAAATAGAGTTTGGTTTGTGTGTTTTTTCATCCCTATAAACTGTTAAGTTATTTTCCCCTGAGAATCTGACAGAAAGTCCACAAAGAACAAGAATTTTCCCGAGAAAATTGAATTAAAAGAGGTCTTTGAGGTAATTAAGAAGACACAAAGGAAGACACCAGAATAAACAACACAACTTGGAGCAGCCTTAACGTTACCTTTTTTTCACTAAAAACTCACAAAATTATTTTTGATTCTATAGGATAAGAAAATTCTCTCTGTTATTGTGAAATTGAGATAACAAAAACATATCTCAAAAGAAAACATTGGTTTCTATTTATATTAGCTAGGTAATTTTCCGCGTAATATAAAATACGATTTGTATAATTTTTTGTAATGTTTAAAATTGTTTTGTTATTTTCAAATTATTAATGTGAATATGGAATAAATTATAAAGTGAAATATATCTTGACAATTTTTTTTTGTAATTTGTCTACACATTCTTATATATTAATATAGTACAAAATAATTAAATATAACTTTATGATTAATAAAATAATGATTATTTTAGTTATTTATAAATGAAATTATTATGTGTTGCTTTTAAAAATGACACAATAATAATAAAATAGCACATAACCTAAAGTCAAATGGGATCAAATATTTCCTTGAAGAAATATCTACTCAAAAAGCTAATATTCATAAAAGGTTAGATTTTTTTACTATTTTTAGTATAAATAGGCTGTAGTGGATTTTATCAAATTTAATTTTTCGGATAAAATGGATGTTTTACTTTTTCTAGAGTTTTAATCAAATGACAATAATCTGATGTTAAAAAAAAAATCAATTGACAATAATCTAGGGGCAATTGCAAAAATGACATTTTTGGTGTTTACATTTGGAAGAATGTCATTTAGGGATGTCAATTTGCAAAAATGCCACTAATTATGGATTTTTAAAACATAAATCTTAAAATTATAAACCCTAAAAACTGTTTTGACCCCTAAAACTTTTTAAACCCTCAAAACTAAACTCTATTATAACATAGTTAACCCAAACATAAATGATATAATGAAATTTTTTTTAATGACATTTTTGAAAAGTGACATTTGAAAAGTGGTATTTTTAAAATTTCTCAATAATCTATTATATACATAGAGCATAATCTATTATAAACGCATGGCTAAATACTTTATATAACGTTGATAGATATACTATCGAAATTAGGTTTTTTTAGTATTTTACTAATAAATTAGAATTGAATAAAAAACTAAAATATACTCGTTTCTTATTATTTGATGTTTTATAGAATTTGTTTTGTTTCATTTCAATTGATGTTTCCAAATTTCTAGGTAAAATTAA